ATAAAATTGGAAGAGTCACTAAGGGAGGCATGATTTCTGTAGAGAAGCGACCAAGGCGAGCTTCTGAACACACTGCTCTCCAGACCGCACACAGCCCTCTGCCATCCTTCCCGCTGCATGCTCAGCTCCTCCTCGTCTCTCAGCCTTCCTCTCAACTGTCTGCCTTGATGAACATTTTCCTGTGCAGCCTCTCCCTTCTGAGTCCTGTTTCCAATGGTAGATCTCTATCTGTATGTAGCTTTCTGTATGGTTTTTCTCAAAACCACAATTTTACACTTGTTTATGTGGTCTTTCATTCAATGGCTAGTACACTATGCAGACTGTAGGCTCTAAAAGGGCAGGGGCTACATCTATTTTGACTCATCATTTATGCTCAGTTTGCTTCAAGTGCAGGTTTGATAAATTAACACACATTCAAAAATATTTGTGAATGGCTAATCAATTAATAAAGTTTAAAAATTCAAAGCATGTTAAGACATTGCTGTTATGAGCCATTTGGAATTAATCAAAATTTTTAATTTTAATATTTGAGAAGTAAAATATATATGTATACATATATATTTTATATATAATATATATTTTCTATATATCCATATATATATATGGAGAGAGAGAGATCTTCCATGCACTGGTTCACTCACCACATGCCCACAATAGCTGAGACTGAACCAGGCTAAAGCCAGAAGTCTCGTCTCCTGAGAGTGCCATCATCTGCTCCTTTCTAGGATGCATATTAGCAAGAAGCTGAAAAAAAAAAAAAAAAAAAAAAAAAAAAACAGAGTAGCCAGGACTTGAACCAGGCACTCCAACCTAAGATACAGGTGACCTAAGCAGTAGCTTAACCTGTTGTGCCACAGCGCCAACCTCAATTTTTTTTTAAAGAGAAACAGAACAGTTCAAATAGTCAAGTAACAAAGAGGAGTACTCTGAAAATGACTCCAAAACCAAAGTAAGCACTATATTGCCCACTTTATAAACAAGGACACAGAGATTCACCGGTTAAGTAATTTGTCCCATTACATGCAGCTTAGAAATATTAAAAGATTCCATTACAGACCTTCTGGCTTCAAACCCAGGATCTTCCTAGAGCTTGCAGCACTATGATCGATGTCTTAGATATATATATAAAGTTAAAAATTAGTATAAATTCTTTAAAAACCAGTGTGCCATTTTTATTCAAAATGAATAAAAATAACCCCCTTTCTGGAATCTATTTTGGAGATTTACTTGATATGTGGAAAATAATACACATGAAGATATTCATGGCAACATTTTCATTTAATGGGCAAAAGTCAAAATCTAACAAAAAATTTCACAACAGGATAATAGTTAAATAATATAGAAATATGCATGGATATCAATTTTTGCACCAAAGTAAACTTTTAATTTCACTTTCCATGAACTTTTTGAAGAAGCCCCATAGAACACTTAGGGCTATGATAGAATGTTATTTTTTAAATGGGAAAGCATTTATATGTATAATGTCAGAGAATGAACATGGGACATAAAACTATAGGTTCAATATTATCATAAATATATTAAATATATGTAAAATGTAGGAACATATACACAAAAAAGAAAACTACATTGAGGGAAATAAAATATTGTCTTGGCATACAACTTTAAATATTTATTTATATGTTAATGCTTTGACTTTATTCTAATGATTTCACTTAGAGAATTTGGAGTTGATGAGTTGATGAAATCTATCTGAATAAAGAAACCAAATGAAGAGAAAGCTTCAACTTTAGAAGGTGTGTGTTTTGTGGATACTGTATAACTTCAGTTCAGTTAAAGAATCATTAAAAAGAAGCATGGTGTTAAATTTTATTTTTTTGTTGTTTTTCTGTTCACACATGCACACACACACACAGTTAAATAATCATTCTTTCACTGTGAATTAGCAACACTTCCATTCTGTATTTTTCAAAAATGTTTTCTGGGGCTGCAGTCGTGGCATAGTGTGTTCAGCTGCTGCTTGCAATGGTGCCATTGCACATCAGAGTGCTGGTTTGGTGCTGGCTGCTCCACTCCTGCTCCATCCTCCTGTGAAAGGGCCTGGGAAGGCCCTGGATGATGGCTCAAGTGCTGGGGCCCCTGCCACCTACATGGGAGACCAGGATGGAGTTTCAGGCTCTGGGCTTCAGCGTGGCTCAGTCCAGGCTGTTGTGGCCCTTTGAAGAGAGAATCAGCAAATGGAAGATCTCTATCTCCCTCTCTGTCACTCTGCCTTTAAATAAATAAGTGAAGAAAGCTTTGAAAAATATTTTATATGAAAGAAATAATGAATAAATATTTCTCCCAAGGTAAAGTTAATCCTCTGTTTCAGCTGGTGCAGAGAGAACTTGCTGTTTTTTCCTCACAATTGGTTACTCATGAAGCATTTTGTCATTCATTTGGGATGTTTAATTTTATGGCGATTAATGAGAACATTAAGCATTCAATATTAAGAAGTTCAGAATTTGTATTGAAACCTATATTTGTATCAAAATCTTAACTTTGTTTAACTTAATCACACTCTGCTCCCTTGAAATATATGCTTAATTATATTTAAGATAATGTAACTGGTTAAGGAAAATTGAAACTCAACAGGAAATCAGATACACCACAGGAAAGGAAAGCTACACGTTTGTTCATCCAACAACTTCTCAGCCAATTTTTAGCTTGAAAATAGCTGAGGTTTTTTTTTTTTTCAGTTAAAAATATGCTCAGAGACCAGGGAAGATAAGTTACTTCTTGGAATTGGAAATAATGTGGCCAGCAGGAGAGAAAAGACAGAAGATTCCAGCTTTAAAAAACAGGTTTCTGAAGTTCATTAAATCAGCTGTTCGCTCATTGGATTCAGTGGGGAGATAGGGATGATCACTGTATTAATTGTTTAAAATACATAAATTATTGGTCCGTGCACATGTAGCAGGCAGAATTCAGTTGTGAAGAATTGGATTGTTCTCCCTAGTTGAGTCAAGGAGTGTTTTATGACAGGTATTAAATGGCTTATGAAAGCATTGAGAGAGTTAAATTAACAGACTACTGGGTGTTTTTTCTAGAATGACTGTCAAAGTGAAACTATAGGACCAAAGGAAGAGGCTGATGTGTTATAACAGCGTGAGACCAGCAGCTCCAGAAACACACAGCCCTGTCAAGGTTAGAAAGCCATGGTTAGGATGGTGCCATTTTCAGGAAGTCATCACCACCTAGAATCCCACCAATCCTTCTCTGAATTGCACCCGCAAAATAGCTGCCTGTCGCCCTTCCTGATTCCTGTCTAGCTAGTGGCTAAGCAGTGAGATGTGTATTAACGCTGCTGCAAAAGAGGAAAAGGGAAAAATATAATGACTCCATTTCTGTGCGCACCAGCAGAAAAGCTCAAGTGGCAAAGGTTCAGCCTTCATCACACTTCTATTAAATCTCATGTAACTGCATGTGACTGATTGAACCTAAGTAACATCCAAAACCCTAACTGCAAAGAATATCAGAAATGTGAATTTTAACTCTCCATCTTCTTCATTATAAATTGGCACACTCAATGATTGCAAAATGGATGTTGAACACTAACGTATTGTGTAGCCCCGCGGTTATTCAGTATCCATATGCATCCTCTTCCCTATTCAACAACTCCCAGAAAGCAGCAATTATTAACATCCGTGTTCCACACTACCATCATGCAAATATCTTTTTTACAGTTGAAAATGCAATCACCCTCTCCACAAGAGAGAGCCAGAGAAAGCCCAATCCATCAATATGTCTCTCTCAAAATAAAAGTTTACTCTTCCTGTCATGAACTACATTATAAAGTTACTTACCTGTAACATATTCTATATAGAATATCACAAAAAGGAAAGAGGTGAGATAAATAATGCAAAACAAGCCAAAGAAGAAAATAGGACTAACAGTTGCAGTGTTCATTTCAAAAAGCTGCAGCTGCAATTTGCAATGTCTTCCTTCTCCCTCTTTCTTGTTCCCCTGGCCTTCAGCCACCCTTAACACATCATGGTAATCCCAGTCTTCATTCTGGAGATCAGAGCCAGTGATGGCTTCCTGTGGTCACCACTGGAAACTGTAATCCTAGACAAGCTGCACAACATCTCCAAGTTCCAAACAAGCTTTGCAGTACATACCATGTAGAGCAGCAACCTTCGTTGAAAGAGAATCTGAAAAAAGTGGTAATTGTCTTTTGAGCCTCCACAATGGGCAAAGCACTTGAAGGAAGACGAAATGGGTGCAACAATGAAGTAGGGGAAAAAAGGTATTCATCACTCTTTCATGTTCACCACCAGGACCTGGATGGAGCTCCAGGCTCCTGGCTTCAACCTGTCCCAGTCCTAGCAGCCCTTTAGGGAATGAAACAACAGAAGGTAGACCTCTCTCTCTCTCTCTCTGTCTCTGTCTCTGTCTCTTCCTCTTTCTGTCATTCTGTCTTACAAATAAATAAAATAAATCTTACAAAAACAAAGTTGCTGCTTGTTTCCCTCCCTCCTATGTGGTACCCATGTTATTCCGTTACATTTACACTTGATCTTAGCCAAAAAGCCAAGAAGCCATCCACTACGTTTAAACCTCTCAAGCTTTCAGTCTGTCTTCTTCTCCATTAAACTTTGTGTGAAGCCCAAGAAGAAAGATTGCTCCTGCCCTTTTCTCAGATGATTCATTCAAACTTTCATGCTTTTGAATAATAAATAGTTCTGATAGCCAGTGAGAAAGAAAGCACTTGTTCAATTTCTTTGAATGATTCTTCCTTATAGCAGGATGCTCCTTCTGAGTGCCACCTTTTGTTGTCTCCCTCAGTACCTGAAGTTCACACAGACTGAAAGCAGGCAGTGGTGAGGACTGCAATTTTGAGCCCTGTTAATTAACTATGTCTCACCTGTTAATTATGTGATACAGTGGGTAATTTCTTCCCAGCTCTGGACCCCGGCACCAGCAAGAGAGAAAAAGTTCATGCAGTCATAAGTACAAGGGGAATTTTAAAATTAATCTGTCATGTGATAATTTGTTGACAGGTTGGTTACTGGAAAGACATGGAACAAGAAGATGCAGCAGAAACCGTCAAAACCAGGGGGAATGAGTCATTCGTCATCCTGACAGGACTAGAAGGAAACACACTGTATCACTTCACAGTGAGGGCTTACAATGGAGCTGGATACGGGCCACCCAGCAGTGAAGTGAGTGCAACCACCAAGAAATCCCGTAAGTGATCTGGGCTTTTTGTTTGTTTCAGACAAAGGGAAACATCTTTTAATGGTTTCTGAAAGCCATGTGAGGTACATAATAAGCAGAGTCAAAGGGGAGTTTGATTCCTAGTCTTGCTTCACTGCTTCGATCTGAATCCCAAAACTAGCTCAGAAAATTTTGCATTCACAGTAGATAAAGGTTATCTTCCTGTGAAACAAGGCTAAGCGATTTTGACACAGAAGGGAGATAAAAGGATTCGAGTTCAAAAGCTCAGTAGAGTAGCTATTAAAATGACACTCCTGGAGCAAAATCCTCCTTATCTGACTCCAGCTGGATAGAAGCCTGTGGTGCCAGCCAACTACTAGACTCAGGAAAAGATTGAAATCCTCACAAGAGTTTAAATGAAGAAATGCATTTAAGAATCCTTGTCAGTTCATTTTCACTCTTTATTTTGCAGCCCCCAGTCAAGCACCTAGCAACCTCAGGTGGGAGCAGCAAGGCTCTCAGGTTTCTCTGGGCTGGGAACCTGTCAGATCATTAGCCAATGAATCTGAAGTCTTGGGTTACAAGGTTAGTGTCTCTTCACTCTCCTGCATAGATACACATCTCCAACTTTTTTATTATGATATTAGATAATCCATAATGTATATAAAAAGTCTTCTATTTTATCTCAATCATTTTCTACCTAGATTTCAGAGAGAGTGCCTCCCTACAGGTAGAGAAGCCAAGGCAATCAACACTGATTTCAACTGCAAGGCATAGGAAAGGAAAGGGTAGGCAAAGCATCAACAAGCTGAATATGGTGTGAAGATGGCTCCATGAAGCATGATGCCAGGCAGAAAATGCTGGCATATTCTCCCAGCACACAGATGGCAGATGGCAAAAACTGGATGACTTAGCCTGAATAGGAAGATTTTCTACTGACAAAGAGGCAGAAGAAGAAAAGCACTGCTAAGGCCAGAACCCTAGACAGGATAGGGTCCGTGAGAAAGACAAACACATCTCACATACAGCCATGCTGCTATACGACAAGAGATCGGGAAATATGAAAACATTTATACTGCTTTTGGGAAAACAACTTTGTCTCCGATCTTAAATACATATGGGCTATGTATTGAATTGGCTTAATTTCAAATTTTATTCCATCATATCAGATTCTATTTATTTTCATAAACTTTGTATGGAATTATTAGTTGAATGTGATTTATATTTATAGCAGAATTTTTTCAAATATCTCAGTGATAATATTTAGACAGAAAAGCATCATTGGGGTGAATTTTCAACTGTCAAAGATGGTAACACAATATTTTGTGTATAAAGTGCTAAAATTCTGAAGCTAAAAACTGAAGATGCTATAAGTGGAATGTATTTTTAAGGTAATTAATTTACATAAATATTTTCAGACAGAAACTATAGAATTCTTACTGTAACTAGTATGGAGCTCAGACACCCTCACACTTTAACCCAGGCACATACACTCAAATCTCTCCCTAATCCTTGGGATTTTAAATTTGCTCTTTTGGGGGAGAGCCAGTGAGTGATTTTCTGTGCCTTTTCCTTTAGTTCTCCCCTTGCCATATTCTGCCCCAAAAGACCATGCCCACACAACTTTTCATCTAAGGCAAATTTACTCTTCAATGATTAGAGGTATCAATAGACCATTCAAGAAGCAGTCTGAAATCATCAGGACGATGGCAAGCCTTCTCTCAAACTGGAGAGGCAAAATAGAGTGCAAGAAAGACACACATAAAAACATACGGCCAATTGGAAGAATTGCGTGATTTCAGGCAGCCTCCAAGTAAGAACAGAGAAATACCAACTTCAGGTTGGATGTGGGGTTCTCCAGTTACATCGCCTACTCTTTGTACACAGTTGAGCCTTCTATCTCTGTCATTACTCTAACACTTTATATGTGACTGTCTCCTGTGCCAAACTGAGCTCCTTGAATGCAAGGACCCTATCTTACTTATCTCTTTGCCCTCAATGTTGCTTGCATTATTGAATAAATTAATTCATTTTGACCCAGTTAGACACATCTTCTGCATTCAGATATGTATATTATCAAATATGTATTTTTCCAACATGGCTTTAAACGTGTTGTATTGTGGTGATGAAAGATCACTGGCATCTGAGTCAGGCAGACTTTAGTTCAAATCCTAGTTGTATAACTGAGTAAATTGTTTATCTGTTCTGGGTTTCATTTTCTTAACTTCAAAATGGTGAAATAGCAGTAATAATATCTATCATATAGCATTGTTTTAAGGATTGAATTAGATAATTTGTGTAAAATGTTTTCCATACAGAAGGAGCTCATTAAAAATATATATATACTATGTGTTTCTTATTGTTATTAGACTAGAGTCCCTGGGTAGATGAAATTTTAAAACATAATAGCAAAAGAAACTAATCTTTAAAAGTTGCCTGCTGGTGCTCTTTTAGTGGAAATAGCGTGTCACCCTGGAATATCTTCTCACCAGGAGAACAATCGCTTTTCCCATCTTAGTTGTATATATTAATGACAAGTAAATACATGATGCCAGAGTATTTTTTTGCTTTTATTTTTTTGAAATGGTTACACGTCCTTATATGCCTGAGAAGGTACAACTAATCCACAAGAGTCTTCTGGGGCCTACATTGTGACATAGGAGGTAACCCTGCTGCCTGCATTGCCAACATCCCTAAAGGCACAGATTCATGTCCTGGCTGTTCCGCTTCCAACCCAGCTCTCTGCTAATGGCTTGGGAACAAAAGTAGAAGACAGCCCAAGTCTTGGGCCCTGCCACTCATGTGGGAGACCCAACTGAAAGTTCTGGCTGCTGCCAAGCCCTGGCCATTGTGGTCATCTGGGGAGTGAACCAGCAGATGGAAGATCTCTCTCTTTTTCTGTTGTTCCCTCTCTCTCTTTCACTCTTTCACTAAATAAATACATCCTAAAAAATAAAAGGGAGTATTCTGATAACAAATGGAGTGAGACCTCAACTCCTTCTCTTTTTCAACTAAATATTACTAGAACCTTTGATATACAGGATAATCTTAAGTGAGAGGACTCTGACGGGAAGGATCCCATCAGGGAAAGGGAACCTAGGCTGAACACAGAGTCTGGATTCTCAAGGAAAGATCCAGTTTTCACAGGGCAAGGGATGAAAGGTTCTCTTGACCCAGGCACAGAGATAGGAATGCAATGAGAATATAAAGAGATGGAAGCCAGGGAACATAAGGCTGGAGTCCCCTCCTCTGAGCATGACTGAGGAGAACAGCAGGCAGGGATCGCCACACTGTAGTTAAGGAGCTGTTATCATCCCCAGGGAGGTACACAGAAACTCAGGCAGACAGAACTGGCCATGGCACTCGGAAACAACATTATCCTCGATTCCTGATGTGTCCCTGAGACCTACCACCACGCCAAAAGTGTAGCCATCTTTCTTAAGCACAGTAGTTTACGGTTGTCTCAAAAGATTAACAAAAGTAGGAGCACACAGCACGAATAATTTATCTTTCCATGAGGTAATCTGAAGTTGGACTAACCTACTAAAATTAAATTCACCTCCTGAGATTCTTGGAAAATTTGAGATAGGAGACTTCCTACTGATGACAGTAATTGGAATATAAGAAATAGGGGTTACTTTATTTTCAATCTTTGTCTTTGCCAATTCTCTTACATGTACAGTTAAGGGATCACTAGAAACATATGTGCTATGTAGGTTTAAGGTTCAGAACTTGGAGTCAAAGGCTGTGGTGAAAAATGCAGGGACTTTTGTATTTTAACTTTTGCATTAAGTGCAGTTTAAGGTTGATAAATTCAGAGAAGTCTTCATATAGAAGATTGTCACATTGTGAAAATAACTGGAAGATGCTAAGTATGGGGAAACATGCAATTACCACATATACTCTACCCATAAGTAATCCACTAAACTCTTCCTTTTATAGTTAAGTTACTATCTAAACTCTTATACAGGATATAAGGCATTCAAAGCAAACCACAAAAGAGCATAATAAGATGATCATTAGAATTTGACATTTGACCAATACTTTAAAAAAAAAAAAAGATTTATTTATTTACTTGAAAGAGTTACAGAGAGAGAGGTAGACAGAGATCTTCCATCTACTGTTTCATTCCTCAGATGGCCACATCAGCCAGGACTGAGCCAGGAGCTTCATCCAGGTCTCCCACATGGGTAGCCAGGGGCCAAATCCTTGGATCATCTTTCTCTTCTTCTCCCAGGCCATTAGCAGAGAGCTGGGGCAGAAGTAGAGCATCCAAGACATGAACAAGTGCCCATAGGAGGTGCCAGTGTCGAAGGCACCAACTTTCCCTGTGACACCACAGAGCTGGCCCTGAACGATCTGTTTTCTAAGAAAGCACGGGTCATAGTCTGTGCAGCTGTAACAAAGTACCTGAGACTGGGTCATTTACAGAGAAGAAAAACAGACTTTTTCACAGTCCTGGAGTTTGAGAAATCCAGGATCAAGGCAGCAGCAGGTTTTGGTTTCTCTGCAGGAGATGGCTATGTCTTCATGTGCAGGAGGTGAAAAGGCAAAAAGGCCAAACCCTGCATGAAAACTCTTCGGTAAGGGTCTTAATCCCAGCCCTGAGGGGAGGAGCCCTCATGACCTAATTACCAGTTAAAAGTCCTCCCCTCTTAAAACACTGGCAATGTCTGAATTTTGGAAACACGTACAAACAATAGAAGCATAGACCTTATTTAAGAGATTGAGGTGCCAGCAAAAGATCCTGAAAAATAACCAAGAATGTAGTGGAAAAGGGTGGAACTGAGCCCTATATAGTGCATCAGACATTAAAATTAAGTCACTTCAATTAAACATTACCTAGTGGTGATACAGCTCATTGCTCGGTTCCCCAGACTGCCTAAGAGATCTTGGACTTCTTGGAATTTTGTTTAAGATGCCCATATTTAACAGCAATAACTTCAGATATTACAGCCCCTGTTAACAAGTAAGAGGAAGAGAAACATGAAAGAACAGGAAAATGTTGGGAAAGGCTTTAGAAAAGCCTTGTTACATTAGCACAAACTATTCACACTCCAAATAACGTTCCATTTGAGAGGTAGTTAAATCAATTTGATAATTTATTTAGCATATTTATGACTTCCTTAAATTAATTAGCATGTGCCACTTTATTTTATTTTTATTTACATTTCCCAATTCTGAGTCAACTGCATATTTTAATATATTATTTATAAATGACTGGGAAAGTGGAACAAAAACTTTAAATAAAATTTTCCTAATTTGACTTATTTTTCTCAAGAAAGTATTAGTAAATGAAGAAATTTTATTATTATAACTCTCCTAATATCGGTCCATATTGAAAGTCCTTAATAATTTTGACACACATTATAAATCTAACCATAATTGGAATTGTTAAGAAATTTCAGTAATCAAATTGTGAACTACAATGTATTCAACTACAATTCTTAATGAACTTGAGAATGGTGGTTGTTTTTTCTTTACACCATAAAAGATTTTTATTCAAGATTAAAATGTAAAACAACCTTTCATCCCCTCCTTATATACTTCCTATATACTTATTGCTGAGTGGAAGGGAAAATATGAGACTAGGGATAAAATCAGGAGCTGTTTTTACTTGCACACATGTCCCCTTTCCCACCAAGAGAAACTTCTATGTGCTCAGAGAAGACTCAAGTCCTCAGAAACAGTTCAGGAAAAGGACCTCAAGCTGTGAACCAAGAAAAACAGTTTTGCTCATCTACCTCTACAAACCATCCTTTCCTAGATGTCATTACAGTTCTATGTGATACGTCTCTCCCACTCATCTCTACTTTCTTTTTTGTGGAGCTGAGGGGAGTAGGGGAAAACTGGGCTTAAAATTTTCTTGTAATCCTATTATGTACCAATGTAGGCAGAAGATTTCACTGCTTATGAACCTGAAACACTAGTTAGGGCCTTGCAGACCTCCCTGAGATATATGTGTACTGGGCATGGCGGTGTAATTCATCCCCTGTAGAATTTTGAAGCCCACCCCTATATCTTTCCAGTTTCTCACAGAGCTTTTGGTCAACAGCCACTTTACTCCCCCTGGCTTCCTGTAGTTTATACCTTTTCATTCACCTTATTTTCACTCCAACAAGAGACTCAGCCTCCTCCCTGTGTTTCCACAAATTAATAAGGCTCTTCACTGGTGGCTTAAGTTGGGTGAGGGTGCACCTAAAAGGTTCATTATGCTGCCTACTCTAGATTATGCTTGAAATTATTTATAATTTTTAAAAAAAAATTGAAACAGAAAAGACCCAGAATGTCAACCATATGTATGAAGACGGAAATACCTTACATACAAACAACTGAAGTTTCTCATATGTCCTTTTCCTAAAGGCCCTACAGCTAATGGCTTCTCAATCATACTTGTGCTTCCCAATTTCTACTCATCTCGCTTCTGGTTGCCTTGCTGGATCCCACTGCCCCCAGCCTGCTGTCACAGGGGCTTCACCTACCTCACCTTCCTTTATAAAGAGCAGATGTCCCCATCAGCCATACGCACACTGCTCAACTGAGGAATACGACGTGCCTTTATTTAGTAGGATTCATCCTTTTCGGGAGCACTTGAGTTTATAATAAGTAAATTAATCCTGTTATATTTTAGCACATTTATCTCAAGATTCTGTTGCTGTTAGACATAGAATATCCCCTCCCAGATCATGCCTTTGAGAATTACATTATCCCAAGAATTTTTCCTTCAGGATCATCTCTTTGAATAACGCTTTGATTTTGAGTTTTTAAATGGAATTTGAGAATAGTCTTGATGTTACATTAGGCAATCTATTTTATGCATAGAGATGCCTGTCTTTACAACTGTCAATCTGTAAGTGTCCATGGTATCACAGAAATCCCTGGCCTCCTCACTGTCCATAGCTATTTTTGACATGTCTCCTTAGTTTTATCATATTTCTTATTCATCTTTTCTAAATCTGGATTTTAAAATATTTAAATATTTAAAATATTTAAATAAAGTAAAATATTCTCTAACACACCTAAAGTAAACATTAATTTAATATATCCTGTCACTTAGTATACCTATTTATTCACACATAGCACTACATCTCCTTGGATGTATTAGTAAAAGCCACATTTAATTTCAAACTGCTTTTGCTACCATTAACTAACTTTTTTTTTTTTGCTTTTACCTTTTGTTCCTAAGTTTTGACTGATCCACAATTTTTTCTTCAACTCTGGATTTTACAGCAACATTAGATACGCATTGCTGACTGCATTTTTCTTTGTCATAAGAATTGTAATTTATTGAACCATAATAACAGTGTCCTCTACAATAGTCACTCCCCTGCCAATCCCCACCAATTTACATACTTTCTCATTCTCATAAATTTGCTTTATAATTATCTTGTGTGGATGATCAGAATTCTAATTCATTACAGTGCCACCATTAAAATCAGAAGCATAAATTTGGATAAATTTGTCATTTCTAAGCCAAAATACATCTTCCAGGAAGACGTCCTCCTGCTACAGACCCTCCAGGAAGTGGTCCCAATTCCCCAGATCTTGACTAAATCCTCATCCCATGCTTTGCTGTGGCATCAAAATCTGTTTCCCCTTGTGGTACCTACCACATTTCATTTCATTGCTTGTCTGCCTCCAGTATCAGGCTATCGGTGCCATAAGGACAGGACTCATGTAATCTTCTCTGTTGAATCTCCAGTCTATAGTACTACCTGGCCTATACAACATCATACCCAGTAAATATTCAGTAAAACTTATCATGTTGTGTTGGCACTGAGGCTATAGGGACCTTCCCAAAAAGAATCTGAGTCACTATATTGATTATACATGACATTTATAGAGAGGTCACTTCCCTCTATAGGTGAAATATAAAGAAAGTGATATGGAGGGAGCATAAATTACCACATTACAGAGGGGGAGGATCAAATCCAGGAAAGTTTCAATACACGAAAATATTGCTTTTCTGATCTTGTACATAAGTTGGTTCAAGCTTAAAACACATTTGCTGGTCGGCACCATGGCTCAATAGGCTAATCCTCCGCCTGCAGTGCCAGCACACCGGGTTCTAGTCCTGGTCGGGTGCCGGATTCTGTCCCGGTTGCTCCTCTTCCAGGCCAGCTCTTTGCTGTGGGTCGGGGAGTGCAGTGGAGGATGGCCCAAGTGTCTGGGCCCTACACCCGCATGGGAGACCAGGAGGAAGCACCTGGCTCCTGGCTTCAGATCAGCGTGATGCGCCGGCCGCAGCGGCCATTGGAGGGTGAACAAATGGCAAAGGAAGACCTTTCTCTCTCTCTCTCTCTCTCTCTCTCTCACTGTCCACTCTGCCTGTCAAAAAAATATATATTTGCTATAATAAAAAATTTAGAAATTTTTCTTTTGCTTTGTAAGCCAGTTCATCTTTTATGATGCAATTTAAACACTGCCTCGCTGACAATTGAACAATGATGACAACAGAACAAATAGCTTCCTCTGATTAAGCTTATCATGCACCAAGTTCTGTGACAGGTATTTTACATGCATCCTTTCATTTCATCCTCCTAACAAAACAATGAAATAGATGTTATTATCTCCACCCAATAGTGGAGTGAATTGAGGTTTGGAAAGGTTAGTAATTTGCCCAGCCAGGAAGGTATAGGAGATAGGTTTTGCTGTTGTTGTGCTGTTTTGTAGGAAATTGTTTTGAATCCAGATCTGCAAGACTGGAAAGTCATTGCTCTTTCCATTATGCAAAATAATCTTAATACCAATAATTACAAAAAAGTACAAACACAGTGATACTGAGTAAAAATATATTTGAACACATCTCAATGGCTACTACCTCATACACACATATATAGATATAGATATATAGATATATAGATCCACACACATATGTGTGTATATATATATATATATATATGGCCATCAAAATGTTAACCTTCTAATGGAATTTCCCTAACTACCCACTTGATCTTATTTAAACCACTAATCTCTGTGACCCTAGTTTCCTTCTCTGTAAACATAGGATACTCCTATGTTCTGATTTGTATTTCTGGAGATTTGTCATGAATATATATTCAGTTGCAGTATCACAGCCAGATGTCACAAAGACTTATCTTTGCTACCCAAAGTATCTAAATGCCTGTTCAACAAAATGTAAACCACTGCAAAAGTAGAAATAAAAAATTAATAAATTTTTACTATTCAACCATTTCCTATATTAAGAATTTCTTTTTGAGATGTTTAACAAATTTTCTTTTCACTCCTTTGAAATGATTTGAAGAGTTTTCAAAACTCCTTTATGATACCATTCATTTCAAGAAGCAAGCAAAAGACTTGTCACGATCTTCCCCTTCATGGCCTTCTCTAGACTCATTTCTTATATTTGCATATGCATTCTTTACAATTCATACCCTAATGTCATGGTTTCTAATTTCTTAGATGTATTTTTTAAAATATTCTCTTCTCTCTTTGCATAATCTGTTTCCTCCACTTTTCTGAAGGGTGAACTCCACTCATCTGCAAATGCTTAGCTCAGGTAGCACCTCCCTTGGAAAGCTTAGTCTAAACCCACAGATAGAATTAAACTCTGTCTTCTCTATGTCATGACCCCTTATAAACACTTCCATGACAGTTCATAACACTCATTACATTTGTTCACTTATCTAAGCAGTGAGATCTTTGTGCTTAGCTCAGAATATGATACACAGCAGCTAGTCAATAAACAGTTAAACTCTAATTGAACAAAAAATGTTTAAACCTTTGCTATTACTCTTAGGTTTTTTATAGGCAAGAGGGTCACACCAACAGTCAAGTTATTGAAACCCAGAAACCGCAAGCAGTAGTACCACTCCCTGATGCTGGAGTCTATATTATCGAAGTTCGAGCATACAGTGAAGGTGGGGATGGAACCAACAGTTCTCAAATCAGGGTGCCATCGTATTCAGGTAAGCTCTTTCATTTGATGACCACACGCAATATCAAAACTGCCATTTCTGAGATCTGGAGGGGCTTGTCTTCTATTGTCCATACCATCCTCTGATTAATATGAATCATGGCAATCTCAAAATTGCAGACCTTCCACAAACCTAGAAAGGAGTCGATGTTTTGTTTACAATGACCTTATTTGTGCAATTTCCTTGCCTATGCTGGCCTCTATTTTGGCTTTGGGGATATTCCTTTAAACTGATACTGCACTACTTTGACATACCTACTTCTTTTCTACCTGGATTGTCTTTATTGTAAGAAAGTAGGGCCTTTGAAGGAAGTGCTTTGACAATTACAATTTGATCATTTTCATTGATTTCTGACTAAATTATAATTTTATAGAATATAAATATAATTGCAATTGGTATTAATAATTGCTAGCTTTTACTAGCCCTTACTTCATGTCCTGTATGTCTAAAAGTGCTTTCTGTATAATACCTTCCTTAATGTTGGTAACAGTCATATGAAGTAGGTACCTTTCTTCTTGTTTTACAAAGAAAATTTATGTAACTTGACTAAGATCAAGCTATTATTAAGTGGCAGAATAAGGTTTCAAGCAGAATGCTTGTCTTTCAGGCCCTATGCCTTCACCCAGCAAGGGAAAACTGATCATACAAAGAGCAATTTTTACGAATTTGGAAGAAAGAAACCGTTCTTCAGGGTAGTCACAAAAGGAAGCAAAGGAGTTAGGTATATACACAAATACCTAATTAAAGTATTGGGCAATTTTCATCAAAACATTGTATAAAACATTTCTTGTGCATTTAATTAATGGCAATTATTAATTTTTTTGTTGACCCTTCATTCTTGAGCAGAATGATCAACCTAGAGGGAAATTGCCAATGATATGTTGCAAGACTCTAAATGTGGCACTATCTTATTTAACACACTTATCAACTGGCCAGAAATACTGCTTGTGATTTTCTTTATGCCACAAAGTGAGATGGAAAGCAAATATAATGTAGAAAAGAATATAGTTAGGCTGAACTTTTAGAAAAAAACTATTTTGATATGATACTTGCTAAATTATAAATTCCTCCAAAAATATGAGATAAAAGACATTATTGGAATGATTAAAAAATGTGAATAATCCTTGTAGATTAGAAAATGTTATATCAACATTAATTCCTGGTTTTTAATAACTGCTATTTGAAATTTTTTTAGTAACTATAGATAAAGGCATTTAGGGAAAAGGGTGTATTGTATCTCAAATTTTATTTCAAATGACAGAGAAAATGAATATATTATAGAGAATAATAAAGCAGAATAAAAAATATCAATATTCTTGGCATTATACAACATGGTTTCCATATATTACTTGATCCCTCTAGGAATTTTTGAGTTAGGAATTTTATTATTCTCTGACTCTCTAAGTTTTCTTTCGATTCTAACACAATCAGAATCTGTAAATACAAACACTTGGATTTTCCCATTTATATTTGATTAACTTATAACTTCTATAAAAAAGTCAACATCAACTTTTATGTTATAATTAATAATGCTTTGGCCAGCACAACCAATTTCTTGAGGTTTTAAAAGTGAAATCTCACAGTTTTGTCTACATTAAACCCATAGAACATGAGCAATGATTTCTTTCATTCTTACCATATTCCAGAAACCAAGCACCTTAGAAATTGAATTACTTGCCCAAGAGAAACAGCTAGTTAATTTTACAGCTAGGGCTAGATCTTTGTCCAATGTTGTACTTTATGTTTTATTTTCCTTTTTATAATCAAAATAATATATTTTAGCTTTGTAAATTCTATTTAGAATTTGAAATATAGGCCCTACTTAGCATCCTTAAAGTGAGATGTTTTCATAAAAGTGTAATGTACATTGATTTAACACTCTCAAATACTTAGAATTTATATTGTTTATTTATTAAGCATATACTCCACTCAAGTAAGGCTTTGTCATTTGCCCTTCTTACAGCTCACATGTGAGCATATCATTCACAATAACCCCATTTTGTATAACTTGATAATAGGTTTTATTAGTGCATTGGCTATAAAAACTTTCAAAGGAAAGAAGATTTGCTGATTTTTTGCATGTGTATGTGTGGTTTATGCAAGAAATATTTCTTTGATTTTTACGTAAACATCTAGAAAATAAATTTAGACTATCTCTGTAATGGAAATCAACCCCATATGGTAATACACTCAATCAAGCCACATGGGATAAATGGAAAGAAAATGATAGCAAACACTGGGTGGTTGATTTCGTTGTTCTGGTGGTGGTAGCGGTGATAGTGGTAGTGGTGGTGGTGGTTTTAACTAAGGCTAAGTATTCTTTTAAGTGAGACAATGGATAAGACCACCTACTTCTACCAATCCCTAGCCCAGTTCTACAATCTTTCTAATACCAGGTTCCTTCAGCTGCAACACAGATAAATAATAGTACTAATCTTATATAACTGCTGTGCGGAACAAGTAAGACAATGTCAATAATGATCTCAGTAGAGCACATCAACCATTATCACGTGCTTCAGAAGTCTTCTACCTTGAAGGACAACTCCTCCGCTTAGTGCCAAAAGCCATAGTTTGTGACTGTAAGGACCTATGCAAACTATTTCAAGCTGATTAGCTTGGATCAGTCAGCTTAATCCAACAACAGTTCTAGTATATTAACTGTACACATATTTTGCTCTCAAGAAAAAGATGTTCTCCTGGTGTCAGTAAAATGATAACGTATTCTATTCCTTTGCCAAATTAGTCATGAGAATCTAGACTTGAAGCCTCTACAACCAAGACAATGAATCAAGGGTCCATAAAAAATCAAATAAAATAATATAATTAAATTGAAAAAAAAATCGACTGACGTGATTAAATTAGGACTTCAGGTTGTGAAGGAGCTTCTAAGTGGGATTTATTGAAAGACAAAGGGATAATGCTCACTCATATGTGAGTGCACAACACCTCAGGACAGAGAATTCCTGGGCTGGAGTTGTCCTTTTTACAGGATAAGGGGTGGGGCTCAGGGCAGGGCCTGACTGAAAATTCAAAGGTGAGGCTTCAGCATGCATGGTTTATCTCTAAGAAACTGGCATCATCCATTGCCTGTTGGAAAGTAAGATTCGGCTTCACATGCCAAGTTTTCAGGCATGGTGAATTGGCATGGAAGGTGTTAGAATTTGGGTAGTACACATGGCTTGGGTGCTGGCAGTCCTTGGGTGCTCCTTGTCCCTCACTGACTCACTTCCTATCCCACATCACTACTCGCCTCAGATTTCCATCCCTTAATCTTTATGGGACCTTGAGGGAGGAATGTCTGTCCTCTGTAACTTCTTCATGATGAATCAGGATGTTGTCCCTGTCTACCCAGGGAACAAAAATTCCTTGCTAGCTAATCTAGGGTTGTTGCTTGAGGAGCTAGGGGTCCACCACTAATCAGTGGCAATAGCTAGAATCTCTGCATGATGATCATTTTTGTATGGAAGTGTTGAATTCTAAGAAACTCCATTTCTGAACTAAGCAGAATAAAAATTATTTTATTTTTCATATCTAGAATTTGAAAGGTTTTCTATTAGTGCAAAAGTTTACATTGAATCTCCTAGTTAGATGTATTTGTTAGACACAGCATAGGCTTTTAGACACAGTATTCCATGTATCCTTCTATCCTCCATATAACTTGGGCAACCACAGTGTATTATTTTGTATGTATGAAGAACTGCCTCATCAGAAATATGACCAATGTTGCTTTCCTTTGTCTTACATATTAGAAAGAACATCTGCCCAGTCCAAACAAAATCAAAATATTTTTTCCACTTGATTTTTCTCCTTTTTATTACAGGTGGGAAAATCACAAGTGCTCAGTCAACTCTCCACACTCTCTCCACATCATCTTCGGTAACACTGCTCTTGGCATTGATGATTCCTTCAACCTCATGGTGAAACCTGCTGAGTTAATTCACTTTTCTTTGCTTTAGCTTGATAACAGCAGTGAATAGAGTATAGTGTAGATGGAGACCCAGGATCCTGAGATGAGCTTTAAACACTTGGGACTACATGTGGTGCACTTAGAGGAGACTTGGAACTATTACTTATCCATCAGGTTTCTCTTTGTTTTTTTTGTAAATTGAGAGGACAGTTCTAGGTCCAGTAAAAAATATGCAGATTGTATGTAATGAATTTTTGTAAGTAAAGGCAATTTCTGTCAAATGTATTCTTTACTTTTTTAATATGTTGGAATTTCATTTTATATCTAATGATTCTGAGTGTGTACCATCCATTTATTAAGTAAGTGGTCCCTAGCAGATGTTTCAAAGACAAATACAAAACTGAGAATGAAAAGCTTGCTTAAGACTGAGTCTAATGTTTTTCATTTTCCCTACAGCTGATTATTCCGACTGCCATATCTGCAGGAGATATGAAAAAAAACTTCAGTTATATGGTTCATTATAGGATAAGTACACAAAGTTTTCTCAAAAATATTGTGTGACTGAATAGCAAAATAGTTAAGATTTGTCAGTATGCTATTCTATATGCACCCCTAGAGCAAGTTATTAGGGCAGGGAATAAACCATTTATATCAGTGGAAAGTAAATAGAAATCGAGTCCAAATGAATTTAAGTGCAATTGCTTTTCATCAACGACTATGTTATCTAGCAGAAAATACAGTAAATGTTTATTTTTAAAAACAAAATAGTTTCAAGTTACAAAAATCACTAAAACTATAGATACTGACATGCTGCCATGGGTGCTAATTTAAAAATGCAATGATTATGGGACAGAACTTTTTCATTTCTCCACCGACTGCCAAAACAGATGTTGAATTCAGTCCAAGGTTTCCTTCTAATTGGAAATCATTTTAAGTATATGAAATTTTGTTGGGCAAATAATTACGCATACATATAGTCTATGGATTAAAATGGTTCAAGCATAAAAACTAATTTTGTATTTTTTGAAAACTGTTCCCTGCATTATATGCCACTTATGAAATCTCACCAACTCCTAAAATAAAGAGATATTAGATAAATTAATTTAAAAAATTTAGCTGTGAGGACATAGCATCAATACAGAGGCTCAGCAAGTCCACCCAGCCATGTACTCTATAAGTCAGTGATTTGAGAGGTGGTCCACATTGCCCACATTGAGGTACCACATTTAAGTGGTCCTTGATTGTGGCTGGAAAGCACAGTGAAATCACTCTCCTTGATGATATCATTATAGAAATTCTAGCCAACATGAGAATGTATCTGAGCTTGAAGATGCTTGAAAAGATAGTTCTTGCATCTTCATATGCCAGAAAAGAACCTGGAAAAGTTTCAGTTTTATAGGTAATGTTAATATAAGAACACAAAGCAATTTATGTTCAGTTATGCAAAACAAGCTTCTAACTCTAATTGCATCTTTAATGGCAAACAAAATATTGAGTTCAAATTTCTGGTTCTAGAGGTTATACCTTGTGTAATCAGAGGAGAGATTGGAGTTTCTGTTCTGAATATCCTAAAATGTTAGCCTCAGAGCCACAGTATAACTAATTATGTTGATTATTCATTCTTTTGGGGGGCAAATTGTTTTCAAAACACCTCAAAACAAGCAAGAAGTGATTTAAGAGACTATTTTAGTCAATATTAATATAGTAAATACTATATATGGTAGTATTTTACTATCTATGCCTATGAATAATAATGATCAAGTGTCCTTTCTTGAACATCTTATTTTGAATGGGAGAGGATGGACTTCAAAAGTAATAATATACTAATAATTTATCTGGTAAAACAGGACTTCTCCCAAGCACAGTATAACTTACAAGAATAAATTGTCCATCTAAATATACATAAGTAATATGAAAAATGGGAAATAATTTTTATAAATTTCATGAATCAAGCCATTTTATCATTTTCCACAAGATTCAGTGAAGGACTTTATTACTAGCACTGTTATAAGGCTCAATAAAGTATAACATTAATTTGTCAATGACAAATCCAAATTAACCAGGATTTCCAACTAGCTGATGGATGGTACATCTGACAGAATATTCACGTACAGAAAGTCTGGTGTTGTATTCTTACAGGAATCTGAGATATGGGATGTTTTTACTCAACATGCACAGAATGTGTATTTTGCATCATAAACCTATTTAAGAAAACAGGTTTTCAATGTTTCTGTATTTATGTATTACATATTTGTTACTTTGTCAAAAGCAGAACAGCATCTGTTATCAAGGTACATTATTTTTCATCTACAGTACTGAGAATTTTCTTGAATGGGAAAATAACCACACAGTCTTAACTCATTAAAGAGACTGTATTTTTGTAAAGTCACAATTGAACTATGAAGAAAACAGCACTTCTTAAAATTAGAAATTTCATGAATGCAAATGTTTTGCATATCCAAATGAAGGTACTGTGGACTCCATGTCAAACTGTTAAATATATTGTATACAATCTGTATATATATATTATATATATAATGGTATATACCATGTGGAAGGCACAGTCAGATGTTCTGTGTACTGTTCTTGTAACATTAGACCTTTTTAATAAATAATTCTCTTTTTATTGACTTTTATCTTTTCTCCTGTCAACTACATGAATGGCTATTTATTTTGTTTAAAAAAAGAGGATGTTTATGAGTATAGTTGCACTCTCAAAAAACATCTTTTAGACTCTGCATGCTGTTATGACTTTAGGTTCAAAAATTTCCATGAATGGTCCTAGTATTTGAACTTAAAAATTTGACACCATGTCAAAGAACAAAACAAGCAAAGTACAGATGGAATAAGTGCAGGGTTAAACTCAAAATGTATTTCTTCTCAGGAAAGGAAACTTCATTTTAACGATTCTGGGATGAGTTTGTTAAATGCATTCTTCTACTTTTATAGGGAACAGACAATCCCAATTTATCCCAGGTGCAATTCTCACAGATGGAGTTTATCAGTCCTTAGGGCCCCTTATGCACCATGCGTACATTTCTATTGCACTGGCAATCACACAATATTATAATTAATTATTTATCAATGTTTCTCTTCCACTTTCCAGACCGTGAGATCACCCAGGGAGACTATATTCTATAAGTTTTTGAGATTTCTAATACCATTGCCTGGCACATAGTACCTGGGACATACTAAGTGAGCAATAATTTGGATTTAACTTAATGGTGGTCTTAAAATGTTTTTTTTTTTTTTTCAAACAGTTTTCCCAAGGATGGTAGATAATCAATTTGCATAGAATTGACTTCTATTTAGTAGGTCAGAGATTAGGGAGATTTGATTGTTAAAATCTTCTCAAACATAAAATGGTACAACTCAATTGAAGAAAGCTGGGAAACACTTAGTAAAATTTTGTATGGATTTACCCTTTTACCTAGCAATACCCCATCGAGTGATCTGTTCCTAAAATACACTAGCAACAGCATGTAATATTAAATGAATAAACAAGGTACAAAAGTGAATTTGTGTCCCCTTCTGTGTAAGAAGTGGGAAAAATATAAACACACATATATGCTATTTTTCTCAAGCAAAAATAACTGAAGAATAAGCTAAATACTAAGAAAAATGGTTACATATGAGAAGGAAGTGATTGAAATATAAGGAAAACATGCAAACAAGCTCCTTCCCAATTTAATTTGTAGTTTAGACTTTGGAACTACATAAATGTTATATTAACTTAAAAATTAAACAAAAAAATGAAACAAAACAAAAATTTGAAAATCAATAGAAAAAAATGAAATATATAACAACCAAAAGATTAGTAAATTAAAGCTTTTCTTTACAGAAGCATTATGAGGGCATAGATAAGTGTATCGATTCAGTATTTTGAGAGTACATTCCTAACTGGGATTCACCCAAGAACAACACACACACATGATATCTTTGTAAAATGTAAAATGTAAAATGTTCAATGAGAAGTTGTAATCTTTGAATCATAAATACTGTACAAACTGTGGTCCCTACGTTTCATTTACTACCAAAAGGAATCAGAGCATGGAGAAATAACTGGTGGAAGGTTTCAGGTGGGGAAATATACAGGATGAGCCTGAGACTTCTTACTTGACTGGTAAGACCTATCTTGGCGATGATGGAAAGATAACTTAAAGGCTTGCCTTTGGCACAATGAGACAATAAATCTTAAGGAATATTGACTGCAATGGATTGCAACAAACTGACATCTAAACTCCACACTTCTGTGTGGGTAAACATTCATACATCATTGATTATCATGTTAAATGAAAGAGTCACCTTTCATTTGAGATTCGCTGTAAAAAAGGAAAGAATTTAGAACTCATCTTGCATTTTCTGTAAAGACTGAGGACAATCACATTGTTGATAAAGGATAGCTCCCATTTGGAAGAATCATAACTAATAAAGGCAAAACTAATTTTAGAATAAAAAAAGTAACAGTAGTACATTGGATATCAATAGGTTTTAAAACCACTAAGTGGAGCCAGCATTGTGGCACAGAGGGTTAAGCTGACACTTGCAAAGGTAGCATCCCATTTCAGAGTTCCAGTTCAAGTCCTGGTTACTCCACTTCCCATCGGCTTTCTGCTAATGCGCCTGGGATAGGAGTAGAAAATGGACCAAGTGCTTGGATCTCTGCTACCCATGTGGGAGACCAGGATGGAGGTCTTGGCTTCTGGCTTTGGCCTGGTATAGATCTGGCTGTTAGGACAATTTGGGGGAGTGAGCAAGCAGAAGATTCTCTTTCTCTCTCTTTCTCGTTTGGTCTCTCTCTCTCTCTCTCTCTCTCTCTGCCTTTCAAATAAATAAATCTTAAAAAACCAAAATAACACCAAGTAAAATGCTAATGAAGAACACATAGTAAAAAATAGGCTGATACCATCTGAATCTATGGATTTTAATACCACTTTTGAAACGGAGACACGCAGACATTCATTAAATACTCCCAATATGACTGAGCTGGATTATACAGCATTACTTCTCTAATGCTATGCTTTAAAAATTTTATCATGAATCTGATCAAAACTCTACATCTGTTATTTTTAAGACATTCTGGAAGAAAAGATAACTTCTTAAATTATACCACAAGGAAGATATCAGATAAATTCTGAATGTCAGATATTCTACAGGACCAATGACCGAGTTTCACCCACAGATAAATGGCATGCAGATACAAAATGGGGGAGGGAACTGTTATAATGTTAAAACAGAATGAAGAGCAAACTCATCAAAATACAACATGCAGACCTTCTTGGAATACTTGGAATACTGATTCAGATGAAGCTACAAAACATGCCTTTGAGACGATGGGGAAATCTTAAAATCTGGACTTTGTATTATATGAAACAGAAGGGACGATAGTTCTAATAGATACATTTTAAAGATTTTATCAGTTAAAATATATCCCGAAGCTAGGCATAAGTAAAATAATATATCCGGAATTTACCTGAAAGTATTCCAGCAAGATAAATTTATGGGCAGGATATATGCTATAAAGGTAGCATAACATTCATAATTGTTGAGGCTGAGTGGCAGATTAGTAGACATTTTTATGCTAGTCTCTATGTTTGTGTAAATTTAATATGGTCCATATAAAAACTTGAAAAAGCCCCTGCTTTAGATTCCATGGCAGGAGTAGCCACCTATGAAATATCACCAAAACCTTTTAACAGCTAACACAGATATATCTCCATGTCTTGGTCTTTAGTACCTATAAAGAAATACTGTATCATCATCTCTTAACACAATGTATGACAAAGAAGAAACTTCCACTTAATAAAACTTACTTTAGTTTTCTATGTTCTTAATAGAAAGCCTTTGTTCTTAGAGAAAAGTAACATATCATCTTGATATTTTCTATTTTGTTTTCTCATATTTATGTAATAGTAATAATACTAGTTGTATCTTTGTAAAATATATATTGTGAAAGATTCATAACTATACATGAATAATTTTCCTACATTCTACTACATTAAATGAATCAAAATGAAATTCACTAAACAGTTGGTTGCTCCAACCATATAAAACGGAGCTGCAGTTTTAATGAACAAATTAATCATTGCTTATGTTGCAATTACCTCTTGACCTGAATGTCAGAGTACAGTAAAAGCTAGCAACATAGATTTTGCTAACATGCGGCTCAGCTGGAGGATAACACTTGCAAATATTCTGAGATGGCCAACTTCCTATCTTCCCTACTTCATCTATTTTCTGATTTTGATATAAACCCATGTCAGTTACTAGAAAAATCCAACATCTGGCTAAACATCTGGATCCTCTCATCAGTGATCTCTGTGGCATGATACATATTAATGTCTAACAGGAACTGATAACTGGTTAAGTACAATACTGTACAATCATTTCCATGCTAAATATGACCTGTGTTGCAGAAACTGGCTCATCCAACCTGTTTCCTCATCTCCCTAGATAAACCACATTTCCCATCCTCTGTTAGATTGGGTGTAGAAAAAGAACTGAGCTCAAGCTAATGGAATGTGATAAAATTAATACATTTTCCCTACCAATATCCTAGCTAATACAGCCTATGTTTTGTTTTCT